AGTATAAGATAGCAAATCTCCTATTTCTTATACCAGTCGCTCAAATACACCAAGAGTCTTTACTAACTCCTATAAGATAGCAGTAGAAGTGATAGGGGGAAATGCAACGTTCCTAGACGACCAGCCTGCAAATTTTGGTAATAGTATAAGCGGTCTTGCTCGTGTTATGATTTTGCGATTTTCTCTTGCAGACGCTATTCAGATATTATAAATAACGGTGTTTGCATCTTTTTTGTGCCAGTATCCTTCCTCGGAAAGAGTTGAGACAAACCCTCTAGCCACACTCGGTCATGCCACCATTAAACTGTAAAAATGTTCAGAAGTCGTCATGAATAATATATAAAGGTGGTACATACTTCGCCTTCACGCCACGGCTCATATTTACGGGCGACACTCCCTTTGCAGATTACAATATTTAATTCGTTCTTATAAGGTACGATTATCCTGTTATATAAATATAGTAAAATAAAACACGAATATATATTTTGGGGCACAAAAGTATTACGTAATATGACATTGTTATAAATACATTAGGGGCTAGTGTGGCCTTGCAAGTGGCATGCCGAGGTGTGGTTCACAAACTCGAAGGTTCGGTTCGCGTTATGCCGCTGAAAATGAGGGACAATCCCGCAGTTCGGTTAAAGATGTTGCTCTCTGGTTGTCCTTCCCTCAATCAGAAGTTCTGAATAAAGGATGGCTATAACTGAACTTTAAGATTTTTGATGTGGCTTTCAACCTTGTTTGTTCATACGGTACCATCATGTTGAAGAAACCATCATACTTGAATCTTCTAACAGTAGTAGTCGTTCTGTCATATTTATCATTCACAAATTGTAGTGGAATATAATAAATGTTTTGTTGCTGTTTTTTTTATTGATGCGTTAATGGCGCAGGTATCCCACAATCTAAACATAATTTCAGGCCTTCAAGTATTAATCATACTAATCGTCGAGTAAAATATTACTATAACCTGCAGATATAACCTTTTAAAGATGTTTTCAATAATAACATTACTTTCAGCTTTATTTCAATCCCCAGCTGAAAAGGGCTGTGCTGGGTTTGCAAATCTATTTTCAGACTGTTAACATATATACAGGTAGTTAACGTACAATACTAAAAAAAACGAATAGCCACTAACATACAGCGTGTATGTTTAAAGTTTTCAGTCATAAAATTCACAATAATGTTTACATAAACAGTGATAGTTGAACTATTTTGTCTTTACACTTTTACATAGGTTTTATAAGATAACTATATCATTAATCATCAAATAAGCTCACTCATACAAGAAACAAATAGTAACTTAAGCTGTGATATGTAACTAATATTTCAGATTAAGTAACACAAAGTGTATGTATAAACAACCATAACGTCAAGTGAGAAATTATTGTTATTAGAAAAGCTGTATCCTCTTAACCAATCCACATCTTATCATTTTAATAACTAATAAAACATATTCAATAGAATAACTTACGTTAAAATTTATGGAGTAACTGTACGCCTTGTCCGTTTCCTCCTTTTTTGGTACATAGATTAGTTCAGCATTGAGCATTAAACTGCTCTTAGATAAATCAACGGGTTTCTTCAAGCCTTGCGCCAGCCTCTTACATCCCAGCCCTGTTGGAATCTATAGATAAAGTGAGACGTTCTTATAAGAGAGATACTTTTGTTTACAGCTACTTATTCCGTAATTATTTAAAAGTGACCGTGGGAATCAAAGCAACAAAGACTAAGGCTCACAGTGAGACTTAGGATCTACGTTAAGCCAACGCTACTATTCTGTCGGTTTGAAAATAGCAATATTCCTTTAATTGGCTTTAGGAATAAAGTTCAAATTGGCTAATAATTCTCAATAAAGTTTATGATATTCTTCACATAGCATAGTCCTGAATACACTACATCTAGTGATCATTTGACTACTCACAAAGTAATAGCATGATGTTAACAAGTTCAAACATTTTATTTACATGGAACTGCCTACTCAGAATTAATACTGGTAGGATTAACATTATTTTCTTAAGAAATCCTTCGTATAGAGTGTATATGAAATCCCTTTATTAAAGAATTTCTACTGAAATAGGTAAGTTATTTATTCTTTACTTCCTTTGTAGTATGATACATTCTGTAACAATAATAGTCACTAAAAGATGTATTTCTGAATGTATTTACATGAGCAAAAGTGAAAATATGGATAAATAAACTTTGTTCTTGTTTGTGTTAGGAAAAATAACCACATTCTCTAAATTAGTCTCATCTGACTCAATTTTAATAAATCTTTGCATTGTGATTCCTTAAGAAAACATATATGTACGGAAACATCTGTTAGCTGAGTTCTTGCACTGATCTTAAAATATAACGTTCATAAATGGAAACATCGGCTCATGTAGATACGTAGATCTT